GTCCAGAGGAGGGACAGTGGTTTGGACATGTCTAGAGGAGGGACAGTAGGTATATTGGTAGAAGGATGTTAAAAAATTCAGCTGCAGGAAAAAGACAAAGAGGACTCAGGACTCAGGAGAGAGGAGGAGAGGAGGAGGGTCTGGGAGGAGGAAGTGCGGTAGCAGGACGCAGAAACGTCCGTTGGCAAGTAAAAAGCTGAATTTAAAGGTGGTTTTTGGCATAATTTGGATTGTGAGTGGATTAAGATGGCTAGTAGTAGTGGTGGGCTTTCGGAGGATGAAGATATGGATATAGGATGGTCTGGGGTAGAGAATAAGAAGAAATGAGGAAAAGAAAATGTTTTAAAAGGAACAACTGGTAAAAGAGCTCTTGAGGGAGAGGAAGAAAGAACTGAAATAAGAAAGAAAATAATGATGGAAGATGCCAAGATTATACTAAAATTTAAGGCAGGACAGGATATGGTGGGAATAAGTCCTATCAGTTTGTCAAATGGATTAAAAAAAGCAATTGGGATGTAGCGTTAGCTAAAGTCCTATGGGATGGAAATCTGCTTATTATTTGTAAAAATGCTGAATAAAAGAACAAAACACTTAAATTACAAATGGTGTGTAAAAAGGAAGTGATAGAAAGAAAGATTGTTGGGGAAGAAAGAGGAGTAATCACAGGGATCCCTGTAGGAGAAAATCTGGACGAGTTAAAGAAAATAATACAAGGAGGAAACCTTCCAGGCTTTAAAAGACTACAGGCCTTCAGGAATGGAGAAAAATGAGTCAGTACATCTGTGTTATTAGAGTTCAAAAATAAAGTTCTACCTGAGAAAATTATGATGGGGTACATGAGCTTTAATGTGAAAGTCTATGTTCCACCACCTCTCAGATGCTATAAATGCCAAAGATATGGACATATTACTAATGTTTGTAAAGGAAAACAGAGATGTAGTAGATGTGGGGGTGAACATCCTTAAGGGGAATGTGGGAACAATCCTGTTAAATGTTGTAACTGTGGAGGAAGTCATACTGCAGCATATGCAGGATGTGAGATAAGAAAAAAGGCAGCTGAAGTTCAACAAATTAAAATAGATAAAAAATGACATACAGTATGCAGAAGCAGTGAAAGTTGTAAAAAGTAATGAAAATGTTCCAGAAACAATTGACGGAGGGGAAAAACTAACAGATAATAGCCAAAGTAATGTTCCCCTGGACAAACTGATTCCATTCCTGGCATGTATCATAAACTGTTCAGAACAGGCAAAAACTAAAACTGAAAAAATAAAGATTATTGTAAAGGCAGCTGCAAAGTTCTTTAATGTGAAAGATTTATCTTGGGGAAAAATCAAAGATTGACTTGGACATGGAGAAGAGTCATCTGAGGCTTCTCAAAACATCACATCATTCAAATATTACAATGGAATGTCCGCAGTCTCATAGCAAATGGTCAGGAATTTAAAGGCTTCATAAATACATTAAATACAAAACCAGATATGTGCATTCAAGAAACATGGCTCAAACCTTCATTACCATTTAACATTCATGGATATTCAGTCAGACACAAAGATGGGACTAATGGCAGTGGTGGAGGATGTGCTATATTCATAAAACAAAATCTGAAGTTTATCCAAATTCATTCAACACCAGAATTAGAAGTTACTGTTATAGAAGTTTGGACAAGTGAAGGTAATGTTAAAATCATAAATTCCTATAATTCATGCAAACAATTAGAAAAAGCAAAACTTGAATCAATTCCAGAACACTAGAGAGGGAAAATAGTTTGGTGTGGGGACTTGTGGAGCCATGAAAACAACTCCAGTCTCAGCTCTGCACGTTGTGACGGGAGAAATGCCACTGGAGCTTAGAAGAACACAAATAGCTTTAACAT